GTGAAGGTTCATATGGAAAACTTCTCTCCCCCCCCCCCCCCCATTACAAATTTGAGGGTCAAGGACTTGAGAAGTAATATCAGAAATGGAATATGAAATCTATTAATATTTTGTTAGTTTCCAAAAACATCAGGAACAATCCAAACATCAAGAGAATGTGAAAATCAGAATTAAAATACTGAAATGTCTAACATGACACTAGCACTTTCAGATATAACAGAAATTGATTCATGATTTAAAATACATACAGAAAAATAAAATCAGCAGAAGTTTTTCCAGGAGATAATACTACTCTACACACATTTAATGGATACAGACCTTAGCAAAGGATCGATTTTATTCAAAATCATAAAGAAATGGCAAGTGTTATGCAAATACAGCATCCACATGATCATGAAAGGCACCAGGAACACTAACAGACAAACTGGCAGTAAAAGCCTAAAAATGTCGATCAATAGGGGCCAACAACTCAGCTACGGGATCAAATTAAACACTAGAGGCAGACTGTGTAAGTTTTAGAAGTACAGATATTGTTGAAAATATTTGCATTAGAATTAACCTCAACTTCCAAACATATTGTAACAAAGTTAACTGCCTGATTGTAAACAAGAAAATTTGGATTACAAAAGGAAAGCAGAGCATATTGTATATATTCTCCTAATGCAAGTTCAATAAGTTACATGGAAAGTGAGAAAGTGGAGAACTATGAATAAGATTATGCATACTCTGCATCATGTCATGAGCATTCAGAACTTTAGTCAGATGTTTGTTGACAGAATGAGGGCAACTCAACAAGGAAAGGCTTTTCGTATTTCAAAAGTAAGTCTGCCTGTTTCAATTCGTAAGAATATTCTTAAAGTTTAAATATAATTATGAAACTGTGCTGAAAAGTTTAAGTAAACTAAAACTAATTAATACTTTCATATCAGATTTTAAAGAAACAAAAATGGAATAGCTTTACATTCTTGCTTGTGACTGCATTTGATCTGCTTTAAATTTGGCAATCTTCAATGTTTCTGAAAAAAAAAATTCAAGGATTTCAAAGACATTAAAAACACTGTTGCATTCAAAGATGCACAAAATATATTTAGTGAACAAATCAATTTTTAAAAACTAGTGTTGTAAGTAAAAAGGAAACAATACAATATCTTATACTTTGTTTGCTTAACTCTTTCGGCACAGGCTCTGTCCCTGAGACTGATCTTGTAACCATATTGTGCTTGTTATATTTTTCATGCTATAACTTTTAAAATAGTAAGCAAATGCTAACGAAAGTTGGCAGATTATTAGTAAACATTACAATGCCTTCATACGCAAAATATCAAATTTTTGTATTAAGTCTTATGGTTTGTAAAGCAATGTTTTTCTCATGTCCTTTTTTTTTTCTTTTCACATATTGCCTATCTATCATGCAAAGTAATTTTCATTTTAAGATTAAAAATACTTATATGCAT